GTTCTCGTTCAGCCCTCATGTACGCCAGTATCTTCGGGAACGTGTCTGCCATCATCCAGCGGCTGTACTCGGGAACGGCTCGATATCACACTCAGATGCTGCGGGTTCGAGAGTTCATCCGCTTCCACCAGATCCCCAACCCGCTGCGGCAAAGGCTAGAGGAGTATTTCCAGCACGCCTGGTCTTACACCAATGGCATCGACATGAATGCTGTGAGTCCACGTCACAATTAAACTGCAATTAGGTTTGAGTCATAATATAATTTTCCAAATACCGACATCTTGTTTATTATGCATGCAAAAACAAACAAAGCTGTTACACCCCGCCCCTTTTCCAGAAGAGGCCGAAGTCTTTACAGCATGTGCTTCAGTTACTCTGGCAACACCAAACAAAATATCTAAATGTGTTTAAAAATCCTTTTCTGCCGCAGATTACATGAATAAATGTATATTAATATACACCGATATATCAGCTACTGATATTTATCGACCGATATTGGATTCATTCAAAGCTATTGGCTTATAGATTACATATTTCTTAGTTTTAACAGATTACATGAATAAAATGTATACTAAAATACACTGATATATATCGGCTACTGATATTTATTGACCGATATTGGATTTATTTAAAGCTATTGGCTTATAGATTACATATTTCTTAGTTTTTAACACATTACATGAATAAAATGTATATTAATATACATCAATATATCGGCTACTGATATTTATCGGCCGATATTGTATTCATTCAAAGCTATTGGCTTATAGATTACATATTTCTTAGTTTTTAACAGATTACATGAATAAAATGTATATTAATATACACCAATATACTTATTTAAGATGGCTTTTAATACTAAATTAATTTTATCTGCACTATCGCTGTGTATATTTTATTATTTCTCTTGTTGTTTTATTGCTCTTGTTTACTGTACGGTGTCCTCGAGTTGCCAGAAAGGCGCCTTTAAATAAAATGTATTATTATAATATTGTAATATTTTTTTATCTTAACATGTGCCTCTCTTAAGATTTTGGTCAGTCGATTGTTAAATGGATCCAATCCATGTGCAGCAAAAGTAATTTAACAGAGAAAGATATAGCTATGCATGTAAATGTAGCTGATTGCAATTGACCAATATCGGATTCGGCTGAAAGTTTTTGTTAAAATTGGGATCAGCCAAAAAAGTAATAAAAAATGTTTCGGTATTTTTCCTCTTCCCAAATTTGTGGATTGCACACTTCAGAAAATAATTGACAAAATATGAGAGTGTGAAATGTGTAGAGTGTGACAATATATATCTTGAAGAATGTTGGAAACCTGTAACCATTGACTTCTATAGAATTAGTTTTGTCCTACTATGGATGTAAATGGTTACAGGTTTTCAGCTTTGCTGTATACATTACATCCAACAAACACATTAATGAGCTTTTCAAATTGTTGTATTGTCCCTTTAAATTGATTATATATCTTTTATTATATTTAAGATTATGTATAATATATAATGTTTAAAAAACATTGTGCTCTTGAACTTTGTCTTCAGCACTGAACGCACAAGTTTGCCCAAAAATCTGAAGTGATAAAATCTGTAATGACTGTACACTTTTTGTTGATGGTTAATTCAGCATGTGTTCTTAGCAGCACATCATTCAGTGTTAGTGAAGGCCCAAATGCAGAGTTTAATGAGATTCTGCATCCAGCTAAAGAAAACTGATGATGCTTTAGATCAGCTCTCATTAAAGAGCAGCGGAGCGTTCTGATTGGACAGTCCGAGGAGTTATGAATACTGCACTGCAAACTCATTTCCTCCATAGAGGAATACCAATAGATACTAAAACTGAACCATTGGCATGCATCACAGCACTGGAAACATTTCCAGCCATATAACATTCAAATATGAACAAATAAATAGATGGCTCCAGATGCCATGTAGCTTTGATTATGACTTCATTAAATCCAAAAACGAGTGTACACAATAAAACCATTGATTAAAAATGTTTATGAATATATTATTCTGTTGCTGAAACATTTTAGAAACAGAAACACGTCACAACAATAAAATAGCGATAAATAATACAACTTCGTAAGCATTTACAAGTCATCAGAACGTCCTCTATTGAACTTTATTTAAAGGACAGTAAAATTTATGACAAAAATATGAAGCAGAAAAAGTGTTTTCAGCTTTAATCAGAAATGTTTCTTAATCATTAAATCAATATAATGTAATCTAATGACACGCACAGGAGACCATCTGTGAAATTATATGACGTACACTGTTGAAAATATCTGATTAACAGTTTGTTTTGATGAGGAAAATTCAACTACAGTTTAACAAAATGGCATTTATTGACATTTTAGTAATTTGAAGCTATATATTAAATAACAAATAATATAGATCTAAATTTTTAAAATAATAGAAAACGTACTGGAAGTTTATAACTAGATTTTTGTACCATCATTTACAACACCAGCCCAAACAATATATCACTTAAAGCTATTACAAATGTCACTTTTACAAACATTTGAATGTCAAAAGTTCATGGTCAAGGTCCTGTAATTTCAATATACATTTTTTTACAAAAATATGAAGCAGTTTTCAGCATCAATCATATTCAGAAATATAACAATATATTTATATTACATTATTAATAATATACATTACATTAAATTACATTACATTACATTACATAAACTTATCTCTGGTCAAAACTGGATGTGTTCTGTTCACTCTCATAAACGAAAGAAAAACGAAACTAAAACTATTAATGAACCAACTAAAACTAAACTGAAGCGTGCAGCAAATTTTGAATGCAAAAATAGAGTTTAAGAATGCCAAACTACACTCATCGGCCACTTTATTAGGTACACCTTACCGGGTTAGACCCCCTTTTACCTTCAGAACTGCTTTAATCCTTCATGGCAGAGATTCAACAAGATACTGGAAACATTCCTCAGAGATTTTGCTCCATATTGACATGATAGCATCACGCAGTTGCTGCA